AAAACCTAGTCCCTAAGGGCTTTCAGCGTATTTTTCGATGCGTTTTTCTCGATGAAGGAATTTTTTTTTTGAATTTTTTCTTTATTTTTATGTCAATCTACATGCATTTCTGCACATTTTGATGCAATAAAAAATTTCACCGTACACCACCTTTAAGCCATTTTTAGGTCATTTTAAGCTATTTTTGAGTCATTTCAAGCCATTTTATAGTCATTTTTAGCGATTTTTTGAACATTTCCAACCATTTTTGGATCATTTTAAACCAGTTTTAAGTCATTTTAAGCCATTTTTGGGTAATTTTAAGCCATTTTTGGGCAATTTTAAGCCATTTTTGGGTCATTTTAAGCTATTTTTGAGTCATTTCAAGCCATTTTAGAGTCATTTTTAGCGATTTTTTGAACATTTTCAGCCATTTTGGGTTATTTTTGGGTCATTTTAAACCAGTTTTGAGTCATTTTAAGCCATTTTTGACGTATTTTAAGCCGATTTTGAGCCATTATATGCCTATTTTAAGCCAAAATCGCCTACCTCTGGATTATAATAAGCGCTTTCGTTGTAAGTAAACGCTGTGTCGTCTAGAAAGTGTCCAGAAGCCGCTGCTCCAGAATCATCGACCTCTTCGACGTCGACGTATTCATCGTCCTCCTCTTCCTCTTCTTCGTCTTCTCCTCCTTCTCCCCCGACGTCTTCTGGAAGATTCTGAAGGCGTGGATGATGGCCATTCTGATGATGAGCGTATTCTTGATGATGATGATGTGGCATCATCGCTCCATTGGTCACGTCTTCTGGATGATCTTCTGCTCCGAACGTCTCGTCGACGACTTCTTCACCGTCAATGTCGCAGCCGTCGAGAATCTGGAAAATTCTGATTTTCAGCCGTTTCTGTGTCATTTTAAGCCATTTTAGGCCTATTTTAAGCCAATTAGGCCCACTTTTAGACTACTTAGGTCATTTTCAGACTATTTTTGGACCAGTCTAGGCCTAATTGGGTCATTTTTTGACTATTTTAGGCCTATTTTTGGACCAATTAGGTCATTTTTGGCCGATTCAAAGCCATTTTTAGCCATTTAGGCCTATTTTTTTGGCCATTTAGGCCTATTTTTTTTTTGGGCCATTTAGGCCTATTTTCAAACCATTTAGGCCCATTTTTGGACCATTTCGGTCGACTTTTTGGTCTATTTAAGGCCTATTTTTGGATTAATTAGGCTATTTAGGTCATTTTTAGACTATTTTTGGACCATCCCAGGCCTGTTTGGGTCATTTTTGGCCTATTTTAGGCCTATTTTTGAACTAATTAGGTCATTTTTGGCCTATTTTAGGCCTATTTTTGAACTAATTAGGTCATTTTTAGACTATTTTTGGACCATCCCAACCTGTTCGGGTCATTTTTGGCCTATTTTAGGCCTATTTCTGAACTAATTAGGTCATTTTTGGACTATTTTTGGACCATCCCAACCTGTTCGGGTCATTTTTGGCCTATTTTAGGCCTATTTCTGAACTAATTAGGTCATTTTTGGACTATTTTTGGACCATCCCAACCTGTTTGGGTCATTTTTGGCCCATTTTAGGCCTATTTTTGAACTAATTAGGTCATTTTTAGACTATTTTTGGACCATCCCAACCTGTTTGGGTCATTTTTGGCCTATTTTAGGCCTATTTCTGAACTAATTAGGTCATTTTTGGACTATTTTTGACCACTTTGTTCTTTTTTTTGGGTCATTTTTGATTTTTTTAGGTAATTTTGGTCTATTTTAAGCCATTTTTAGCCTATTTTAAGCCTCGTTTTGAAGTAATTAGGCCTATTTTTGGACTCATTTAGGCTTATTTTTTTGACTATTTTAAACCTATTTTTTGGACTAATTCGGCCACTTCTGGACTAATTTTAGACTATTTTAGACCATGTCAAGCCTATTTTCCATCAATTTCCATCCGAAAAAAAGCGCTTACCTTCAACGAGGGAATCATCTGAAACACACGCTCTCGATAGTTGAATCCCAGTTTCGAATTATTGATTAAATCCAGTTCAGAGAGCTTCGGCAACGATTTCAGAGCTCGCAGATGGTCCATCGCCAGCACATTCCCGGTCATTGAGATCTTCTCGATTTGCGGAGCTTTGACGGCGAGAACGTCGAAAAACGCGCGATCACCGAGCACATTCTCGCTGATGTCGAGGTAGGAGAGCGATGGGAGGTCGGGAAGGCCGGCCAGGGTGTTCAGACCGCATCGCACCATTGAGAGCATCTGGAAAATCGGAAAATAGGGGGAAATAGGCTGAAAATAGATGGGAAAATAGGGGGAAATAGGCTGACATTAGTGCTATTAATGTGCCAAAAATGACAAAAAATGGCTCTAAATTCGCGAAAAATGATTTAAAATGACCTAAAATGGCCTGAAATAGGCTTAAAACAAGCTTAAAATGGCTCTGAATAGTCTCGAGATAGGTCCAAAATGATGGCTCAAAATAGGCGAAACGTGTCTTAAAATAGGCTAAAAATCGCCTAAAAATGACTAAAAACGGCTTTGAATGTGGTAAGAATTGCTGAAAATGGCCAACAATAGCTTAAACTGGCTCTAGATATGCTTAAAATAGGCTAAAAAGTGGCTAAAATGACCAAAAATAGACAGAAAACGCATTAAAATTAGCTAAAAATCGCTCTGAATATGCTGGAAAAAATAGCCCGAAAGTAGCTTTAAATGGGCTGAAAATGGCATTAAATGAGCTAGAAATAGCTAGAAATATGCTAAAATGGCTCTGAATAAGCTAAAAATGGCTCAAAATGCGCTGAAAATGGGTGAAAATTTGGAATAATAGCTTAAAATATGTTCGTAATAGGTCCAAAATGGCTAGGCTAAAAATCCTCTAAAAAAATCCTCTAAAATAGGCTGAAAATATGCTTAAAATAGGCTAAAATGGTTTCAAATAGCTTAAAAAGGCCAACAATGACTCTGAATAGTCTCGAAATAGGTTCAAAATGGCTCAAAATAGGCAAAACGTGGCTTAAAATAGGCTGAAAATCGCCTAAAATGGCTTTCAAACGGTTCTAACCAGGCAAAAATGACTTAGAAACACTAGAATAGGCCAAAATTGGCTCAAAAATGCGTTTAAAATGACTAAAAACGGCTTTCAATGTGCTAAAAATAGCTGTTTCTGCGATTTTAGTTGATTTTTGATGGATTTCCCATAATTTTTGTGCTATTTTCAGCGATTTCTGCCTAAAATGATAGAATTGGACGCAGCATTGGACCGCAACCGACCATTGACAGCATTAAAATTACGCCAAAATTGGCTTAAAAATGGGGGAAAATATGCTAAAAATGGCTCCAAATTGACTAACAACGGCTCGGAATAGGCTTTAAATGGGCTAAAATGAGCTAGAAATGTGCTTTAAAATGTCTGAAAATTAGCTCAAAAGGGGTTCAAAATGGCTCAATATAGACTAAAAATGATCTTAAAATGACTTAAAATATCGTAAAACGGGCTAAAAATGTCATAAAACAGGCGGAAATAGGCTGAAAATGGGTGAAAATTGGGGAAAATAGCTTAAAATAGGCTCGAAATAGGTCCAATATGGCTCAAAATAAATGGCTTAAAAACAGGCTAGAGATTCTCTAAAGTAGGCTAAAATGATTTCAAATGGCTTAAAACGGCCAAAAATGACTCTGAATAGACCGGAAACAGCTTAAAGAGGCTGGAAATATGCTGAAAATGGCTTTAGATATGTTAAGAATGGCTCAAAATGGCTCAAAATAGGCTACAATGGCCCCGAAATGATCAAACATGACCTAATTAGTCCAAAAATAGGCCTACAACGGTCAAAAATAGTCATTAATAGTCCACAAATAGGCTTAAAATATTCCTCAAATAGTCGAAATAGTCCGAAAATAGGCCTCTGAATAGGCTAAAAATGGCTTGAAATATGATTTTTCTGTGATTTTTCATGCATTTTGACCATGTTTGAGCTATTTTTGAGCAATATTGAGCAAAAAATCATGAAAATCGACCGAAACCGAAAATTGGCGAAATTGCAGGTTTTGGTGCCTAAAATTGACTTTTTCAACGATTCAAACCAATTTTTCTGGAATTTTCAGTAAATTTTGACTATTTTTGAGCTATTTTCCAGCTTTTCCCATCGATTTCAAGCCAAAATTTATGAAAACCGACGAAAATCGAATTTGGACGAAATCCTTCGATTTTGGGTAGAAAATTTGGGTTTTTCAGCGTTTTTTGAAGATTTATCAGGCTTTTCAGTGTCTTTTTCATCTTTTTCTCGAGTTTTTGACCCGGAAGTCAGCCTTTTTGGTGCCAAAATCAATTTTGGACGCAGCTTTTCGATTTTTGGCGAAAAATATGAGTTTTCAGCGATTTTTAGCACTTTTAGACGATTTTTAACGCTCTGAGCACGATTTTCAGCCAATTTCCAACTATTTCAGCCCAAAAATCATGAGAATCGGGCAAAATTGACTTTTGCCGGAATTTTTCGATTTTAGACAGAATTTTTCGACTTTCCAGCATTTCCAGGGCTCTGAGCACGATTTCCATCTCGATTTTCAGCTTTTCCAGCAAGATTTACCTCTAAATTGGCGTATCTCGTCGCCAGACCGCTCATCCGCCCGTTCGTCGTCGAATTGTCCAGAAAAAGTGTGTCTAGCTGGTCGGGATCGGCGTTTCCGACCTGATCGAAGTAGATCTGTGCCATTGACGGCATTTTGAGCTGAAAAAATGGAAAAATTCGAGAAAAATCGGTGCGAAATAGGCGAAAATTCGAAAAACCGTGATGCCCTTGGGGAAATCGATTTTTAGCCGAGCTTTCTCGATTTTTAGGTGCTTAAAATACTTCCTAGCTAAGCTAGGGTCGTGCTCTAGCGAAAAAATGCAAAAAAATTGGGAAAATTCGATGGGAAACGGCTGAAAATCGGCTGTAATTGGGGGAATTTATAATTTGGATACGCGCGAAAAATGGTGTGTGGTGGAGCGCGCTTGCTGAGTGGAGTGTAAAAATTGGCGGAGGAGAGGGTCAGGACCCAATAACAATGGCTAGAGGGAAAATAGAAGAAGAAAAATAGGAAAAATAATTCTTATAGAAAACAAGGCCAGGAAGCTGGTTTTTGGCGAAAAAAATAGTTTTGAAAATTCAAAAAATTCGGAAAAAAATTAAAAATTTCAAACTTTGGCTCAGAAATCAGGTCCAGACATAAAAAAAATCATAAAAACCTAAAAAATCCATCCCAAATTGCTCATTTTTGACTTCTCGGTTCCCATTTTTCCACTTCACAACATTCAATTTTCCCTTGTCGCCCGGCGAGAAGAGAGACGCAGACATAACCGACGCGCTCCCTTTATCATCACCATTGCCTTCTCAAACAAAATGTGGCCGAATGGTCTAGTGGTATGATTCTCGCTTTGGGTGCGAGAGGTCCCGGGTTCAATCCCCGGTTCGGCCCATTCCTTTTTTCTTTTTTTTTGTTATGCTCCTGTTATCATTAATCATCAGTTTATTCCAATTTTAAAACTATTTTTGCAGCAGAGAAAACATGACAAACGGCCAGGAGGGACAGGGAGGTCATAGGATAGAGAGAGAAAGAGAGGGGAAAGGCATTTTGTATGATAAAAATGAACTTTTTAAGGCAAAATCAACTTTTTGGACCACAGGACTGAAAGATACTGTGAGAAAGCACCAAAACATTTTTGTGTGGTTTTTGTCGTTGGGGTGGGTATACGGTAGGAGAGAGATATGAGTTTTTGAATCGAAAAAAGTGGGCGGAGTTTAGTAAAAAATGACAGTAGGGGAGTTACAGTAAGAAATCAAAAGGGCAACGGAAAAGTGGAAAAGCGAGATACAATGATAAATGGAGAGAGGAAAAAGAGAAAAAAAATCCCAAAAAAAGGTCAAAAAGCGGGAGAGATCAGGACAAAATGACATCGTACGGGGATGTGTAGATGGTGGTGTGTCCAAAAATTGTGGGCGGAGCTTAGGCAAAGTACATGACCTTGTTGGCTTTCGGATGGACCTGAAAAATTGAATTTGAAAAAAACTAGAAATTTGAATTTTTCGATTTAAAAAAATCTAGAAAATTTGGCTTAAAATGAATTAAATCGATTGGAAATAGGCTGAACATAGACCCGAAATAGTCTCAAATAGGCTTAAAATAGACTGAAAACATCCAAAAACTGATCAGAAAGTCAGCAATTTTCCGTCCGACTCTGGTCCGTTTTTGGTCCGTTTTCAGCCATTTTTTGAAATTTTGGTTTAATACGACTGAAATCGGTTAGAAAAGTGCTTCGAAAAGCTGAAAATAGTCTAACAATAGGCCTAAATAAGTCTAAACTAGGCTAAAAATAGGCTCAAAGCCACCAAAAACCGATCAAAAACACATCAACCTTTGGCCCGTTTTTTGTCCGCTTTCGGTCCGTTTTCAGCCATTTTCAGTCGTTTTTGGTTCGTTTCCAGCTATTTGTAGTTATTTCTGGACCGCTTTAGCTTAGTTTGAAGTTTCTGATTTTCAGAAAATTTTGGTCTGTTTTTGCTCCATTTCCAGTGATTTCTAGCTCAAGAACGGATCAAAAACGGCTGAAAATGGCAGAAAACGGACCAACAAGGGACCAACAGCCCAAAAAACTTGAAAATCTCTCTTACCTGAACAGCACGCGCCATACTCGAGAACGTACTATCCTCCGACGTTCCCGACGGTTGTGATCCTTCTCCGGATTCATGATCTCTGTCAACCAGGTGGAATCTGGCGCGCATCGCCACCAAATGCGCATAGTACGCCGGCGCCGGGATCGACACCGATCTTGTGCACCGGGCGTAGGTGTGACACATCTGGTACGTCAGCTGCTGAAGTTGGTCCGCAGTCATATCGTTATCATCCCAGAGGACGTGATAGTGAGATGGCCGAGATGTTCCCTGGATTCCGGCATGCGAGCATAGGTAGAAATCAAATTCCGTTGGATGAGTGATCCCAACATCCACAATTGTTCCGGGCGGGATGTTGAACGCCTTTCCGACTCTATCATTCTTATCAACCGAGAACAAACGGGTGTGATGACGTTTTTGAACAGCGATAAAGGTGATTCCGGGTTGGTATCCAGTCTCTAGCATCATACAAGCCTCGCGGATCGCTCGAAGCTCATATTGAAGGACATTGAAGAATTGTCCCTCTGAGACTCCATCTCGGTAGACTACAATTCTGGCTGGCTTGAAACGAGTGTTGATGTAGAATTGTTGGAGGAGCTCTTTGACCATCGATGCCATTTCGGTAATGATTTCCTGGCGATTTGGTTGGACACGGACTGTGGCGGCGTACTTGCTCGGGTGGGCGTCCATTGAGCCGACGATGGCGGCGACAGAGGGTTTTCTGGAAACAGAAGAGTTTGAGAGTTGATATCATTTTGTAGAACTTCTCAAGATCTACAATTCTGTCTAAAAATCACATTTCTAGCACTTTTAGGAACCAAGATAGAGCCGTTTTCAGTTTAGGAGGCTAGAGACGCAGACGACAAGACACGCTGCGTATCTAACTTTGGAAACTTCAAATGACCGTATCTCGAGTTCTGGATGAGCTAGAAAGTTGGTTTTTGGACAGAATTGAATGGTTCAAAATGGTTTTTTTTTCAATTTTTTAAATAATCTGAAAATCCATTTTAAACTCTACAATTCTGTTTAAAAACCACCTTTCTAGCTAATCTAGAAATCGAGATACGGTCATTTGAAGTTTCCGAGGTAAGAGACGCAGCGTGTCTCGTCGACTGCGTCTCTAGCCTCCTAAACTTGGAACATGTTTTCTTACCTAGAATCCCCTGCCGGTGGATGTGTAATATCGCATCCGAGGAAGATCACCGATTCGGAGAAGATCTTCGGACGAACGTTCGGCGCGAGAACACAATTGACACCTCCCAGCTTCATGTTCATCTTCATGCAAATATTGGAAAGCGTTTGGGGTGTGGTACGAGTCACATTCTTGGACTGAATGCATTGAGTGGCGATTCCGAGGACCGTGTCTCCAACACGCTTGATTTCGGCTGAAAAAAAAAATGGATTTAAAGGCACGATTCCAAGATCTTCAGATCCACGACTTTCAATTTTTTAAAAATTCGTTTGAAAATCCATTCTAGACCGTATAATTCTGTCCAAAAACCACCTCTCTAGCTCATCTAGAACTCGAGATACGGTCATTTGAAGTTTCCGAGGTTAGAGACGCAGCGTGTCTCATCGTCTGCGTCTCTAGCCTCCTTAACTTGAAGCTGCTATATCTCGGTTCCTAGAAGCGCTAAAAACGTGATTTTTAGAAAGAATTGTAGGGGATTTTGTCTTTTTTTATGATCAACAAAAATTTTGCAGGATTCCAAGATTCACGGATCTCTTGGATTTCTGGATCCCAAGGTCCTCTTAAGAATCTATAAACTCTTTCAGCTCATCTTGTATAAAAAATAGACAATTTTTTTACATTTCCGTCTAAAAACCACATTTCTAGCGCTGCTAGAAGCCGAGATAGAGCTGATTCAAGTTTAGGAAGCTAGAGACGCAGACGACGAGACACGCTGCATCTCTAACCTCGGAAACTTCAAATGACCGTATCTCGAGTTCTGGATGAGCTAGAAAGTTGGTTTTCGGACAGAATTGTTGGGTTTAAAGTAGATTTTTAGATTATTTCAATTTTTCTAGATTTCCACGTTCTTGAATACTTGAAACCTCAGATCGTTCGATCCTTAGATCCATAGGTCCTTCGATTTCTGGATCCTTAGATCTTGAATCTCCTTAAATCTTCTGATTCAAAGATTTGATGATACCAAGATTCCAGGAATCTAGTGTTCCAAGCTAGGCTAGGCTAGGCTAAACTAGCTACGCTAGCTAAGCCACCTAGAAGTCCCCAAATGATTCAGAAACTAACCATAAACCGGCGTCTTCCCGGGCAACACAATAACCACCAACTGCAATTCCGGATAGTTCTGTTTCAAATACTTGAACATTGGCTCCACTTGCTCCACACCAACAGCATACTTGCAGAAGCATGGACTTCCAATGATTGGCATTCCAGCGTCGTGCGAGATCCGTTGAAGATGGGATGTGAAAGCGCGTAGGTCGTTCTCCTTGACATGATGCTGATCGGCAAAGCAGACAATGGCCCAGACGCGGACCTCGATTCCCGTATGGAATTGTTTTCCACGCAGGTCCCAGACTCCTTGATTCGGGACAGCCGTCGAGTTTTGACGTCCTCCGTAGAGCAGCTTTGGTGCCGACAGCACCCGTCCTTTGACTTCAGTCATGGCTGGATTGATAGTGATTCCGAACTCATGAGCGAAGGGGTCGGCGGAGAATTCGGCTTTGCGGACGAGATTGGCAATGTCGCGCTCGCGTTCTGGTGCGGTACGGGCGGTGGCTTTAATCATTGTAGAGGTTTGGGAGTCGGTGAGCTTCTTGATGCATCGTTGACCGGATACCACGTTGCACACTTCGATTGGGAGGTAGGTGTGCTTTTGCTCTTGGCCGACCTGGAAAATGGGAAATGGGACTTTTGAGTTTTAGATCATTTTGTAGGGCTTTTCAAGAGCTACATTTTCCAATAAAAACTATTTCAAAATCCTAATTTTGAAAAAAGTTATGGTCAATTTCGGGCGCCAATAGTTTGACAGTTTGTAACTTGCTTCAACCTCAACTTTTCAACACGAGCTTAATATCAAGATGTAGCTCTTGAAATTATCTAAAAAACAGTAAAAATTTCAAATTGTTGAAATTTTCATTAAAATCCTAATAGTCCCTTTCAAATCCCACAACCCTGTCCAAAAACCAACTTCCTAGCTCATCTAGAACTCAAGATACGGTCATTTGAAGTTTCCGAGGTCAGAGATGCAGCGTGTCTCGTCGTCTGCGTCTCTAGCCTCCTAAGCTTGAAGCGGGTCTATCTCGCTTCCTAGAAGCGCTAGAAATGTGATTTTTAGACAGAATTGTAGGAAATTTTGTCTATTTCATAGTCAATAAGAATTTGAGCTTCTAAAGCAAACCTACAATGGTGGGTCTGGTTTCAAGCGGATTTTTCAAAGCTAAAAAAGTAGGACTGACATTTTGTTATACATAGTTTTGTAGCGCTTTTTAAGAGCTATCTAACATTTTTTGATTTTTTCAAAAATCTCAAAATCCAAGGGTTCCAACATTATTAGAAATCATTACCTGAAGACACGGCAAGTGTGGATACTTCAACTGCAGATTGTACTTATCATGGAAATACTTGAGCACCGTCTTCTCGATAGTTTGCCCATTTTCCAATTGCAACGGGAACGTCTGGGTCTGGGCGGGACGTCTCGTCACATTACAGACACGATACTTGCGTCTCATCGGTCCACAATGATTGATCTCCACCTTGAGTCCACGAATCTCCTTGGTGAACTTGACACGTTGAGAATCGGAAAGCACTCTTCTCTCAGCCAGTGCCTGGATGGGTAGCTCAAGGACCTCGGCGAGGAATTCAATAACTGGCATCTCCCGATAGAACGCTGTCGCCGACACGTCAATATTCAGCATCATCTTCCATTGGGATGGTCTGATACTCTGATGGAATCCAAACCAGACCTCTCGCCCTCCGCCCAACTTGCTCTCCGGGAAGTTCTGCTGTTGAGCGTGCTCGAATCTCGCTGGCGGGGAGAAGAAGCTCCGGCCGACTGGACTATACTTCAGACTTGGCAAGTGACGAAGGATGACGTCCACAGCCTTCACAGTCTCATAGGGTACTGTATGGATGCGGCCTTCCATGGCGTCTTCTAGACTGGTTAGGGAGATTTCGCCGGCCCATTTTAGGGAGACGGAGAATTGACGTTCGACGGCAGACTCGCCGGGAAGGACCACATTGAAGTCGGTACGTTCACGACCGAATGCAAGCATCTCGCGAGTGTACATGCTGTTCTTGCCATCGTAGACTGGGCGAACGTTGGTGAAGTAGCCGGAGAAGGATTGGATGAGGCAGGAGATGATGTCGCTGAAAAATTGTTTGGGTTAGAGAAGCGAGGTTGGTTCCTAGGCCACGTTTTATATTCCTTTTTGATTGTCTGGGTCATCCTATGCTCCTTCTAGGCCGTCATCGAAACCCTTGGGTTCTTGGGCCACACAAGGCTAGCTAAAGTATCCATATTAGTCAGTTTGATGGATACAGTACCCTTTTTCAGAAATCTCAATTTTGGAAAAGCTAAAAATCCATTTTTTCAAACCCCCACAATTCTGTCCAAAAACCAACTTCCTAGCGCTTCTAGTAACCGAGATAGACCCGCTTCAAGTTTAGGAGGCTAGAGACGCAGACTACGAGACACGCTCTAACCTCGAAAAAACTTCAAACGACCCTATCTCGAGTTCCAGACAAATTAGGAAATTGATTTTCCGAGAGAATTGTAGAAAATTTCGCCTATTTTATAATCCAAAAATTCATAAATCCTAAAATCTCAAGATCTTTTGACCATTAGAATTCATGGACTGTAGAATTTTAAAAGTTACAAAAATAATCTCAAAACCCATTTCACAAGCTACAATTCTGTCCAAAAACCACCTCTCTAGCTCATCTAGAACTCGAGATACGGTCATTTGAAGTTTCCGAGGTTAGAGACGCAGCGTGTCTCGTCGTCTGCGTCTCTAGCCTCTTGTATTTGAAACGGCTCTATCTCGGTTCCTAGAAGCGCTAGAAATGTCATTTTTAAACGGAATTGTAGGAAATTTAGTCTGTTTTTCAACGAAACATTCTCTAGGCCATTTTCTAGGCCACAACCTACCGATTGACACGTCTCGGACACTTGTCGGGCATCACTTCGACATGATAGTGTTGAATGTTTCCACCCGGAATGCGGACCGAAAAATGATTGGCACGAAGAAGAATCGCACGTCCGTCGACACCATGATTCGGACGACGTGGACAACGGAATTGGACACCGGAGCGACCTTGGGACCTGAAAATTTGAAATAGAAAAAAAAGTTCGGCCAGATTTTGGTGGCCTAGAAAATTTTCTAGGCCACCAACTTACTCTAGACTGGTTGCTTCAGCTTCGGATGGCGATCCACCATCGACACGGAGTCCACCTATGGCGGAGAGAAGGTTGAGAGGGTCATTGAGATCCTGGAAGAGGAATTTTAAGATTTAGGTTTCTAGGCCATGGGTTCTCATGAGTTTAGAGGCAATGGTGGCAGAGTTTTTTGGGTTTTCTAGGCATTCTTACCTTCGAATCGGTGGTGACAGGGGCAGTCGTCTGCTCCATTTACCCGTATCCAGAAATGGACGTGTGTTGCACTTGTGGTTTTTTGCTGAAAAAATAAGAAAAATTTTTCGGAAAAATCAAAATTCGGAGAAGGAGGAGAAGAATATGGAGAAGAGAAAATAGTTAAAAAAGAAAGAGTTTTTCGATAAAAAGAAGAAATAAAATGTTTGGAAATGGTTATTCCAGTTTAAACGATCCCCAAAAAATCCCAAAAAAGACCAAAAATCCGAAATCTGGAGAAGAAGAAGAAGAATCTGGAGAAGGAAATTTTTCCATTTTTCTTAAAGGTTTCAGGAAAATTTTCAACTATTAGAAGCAATCCCAGACAGTTTTTGCTCTTCTTTTGCTTTTGAAATTGCTTCTTTTTTCTTCTTTTCTCTTCTCCAAAAATCAAAATCTGGAGAAGAAAAAAGAAGAGATTTTTTGTTCGAAAAAAGAAGAAAAAGGTATGGAGACAACTATGAAAGTTAAGAGAATTTTTAAAAATTCCCAGAATACCTCTAGGATAGCTCTTCTTTTTGTCCAGACCACAATCTGGAGAAGAAAAAAAAAGAAGAAGAAAAAGAAGAGATTTTTCGATGGAAAAAAGAAAGAAAAGCTCTGGAGACGACTGTAATAGTTGAGAAAGTATCTAAAATCCCCGAAAATGTTTTTTCCTTCTTCTTCTTCTTTTTCACTCGAATCAAAATCTGGAGAAGAAAAAAGAAGAGATTTTTTGTTCGAAAAAAGAAGGAAAAGGCCTGGAAAGCCTGGGAAAGTTGAGAAAACTTCTGAAAATTTCTGGAAACTCAGAAAATCTTCTTTTTTTTTGCGCTGAACAAAATCTGGAGAAGAAAAAAGAAGAGTTATTTCGATCAAAAAATAGAAGGAAACGGTACGGAGAAGCCTGTAAAGCTTCTAAAAATTGTTTTTTAATTCCTTGAAAAGCTAGAATTTCTCTTATTTTTCCTTCTCCAGGAACCAAAATCTGGAGCAAAAAAACCAGAAAAAAGAAGAAAAAAGTCTGGAAAAGCCTGTAGCAGTTCTAAAAACCTCTAAAAACCGCAAAAAAAAACGCGCTTCTGGAGAAGAGAAAAAGAGGGAAAAGAAGAAGAAGAAGGGTTGGTATATGTGGTGGACGTTGGGAAAGAAAAAGAAAAAGAAGAAGAAGGGAAGAGGACGAGGAGGACAACGGGGGGGGGGGGAGAGGGTGACATATTACGAAAAAGAGTGCATTTTCTCTGCGTCTCCTTCTTTTCCACACTCTCTTGAGAGAGACGCAGGGAGGTCATATGACGCTGCCAGGCCCCTGTGCTAGGCAAGGGACGGCTGGTGTTGGGAGAAGAAAGAGAGAGTGTGGAAAAGAAGGAGGTTAGGCTAGAGAAATGAGGAAATAGTGTGGCTAGTGCAGAGAGTGCGAGACACTGGGGCAGATGTGTGTTGGCTTGTGATGGGAAGAAGGCCTAGAGAGAGATGGAGAAGAGCGATTAGATTGGGAGGGGAGGGACGGGTCGAATTTTTGGCGGGAAAAATAAAGAGACACAAATTGTTGGGGGTGCCAGATGGAGACGTGTCAGTGAGTGTCTGCCATGAGGAGAATTCTGAGAATCTAAGAATTTTTAGAGATGATTATATATTTTTTAGTTTTTGAGAAACTAGAATTTTGGGGGGAAAATTGAAGATGAAGGGGCGGGAAAAACCTAGAATTAGAGGAAATTTGAAAATGAAGAATTTCGAGAATTTTGAAAATGAATGTTTGAAAATTGCCTGAGAAGAAGGGACTAGACATCGGGACCAACAGACTTACAGATAGATTTTGAAATAATAGGCTGAAAACAGGCTAAAATAGGCTTTAAATATGCTTAAATTTGGTCCAAAAAAAATGAAAAAGGGGCGAAAAAAATCCAAAAAAACACCCTTGAAAAACAGGAAAAATGACCTTAAAATGAAACAAAAATGGTGATTTTTGGAACTTTTTTTTTTGGCGCATCTGAAAATTGAGAGATCAAAATTTTTGAAATTTTTCAAAATTTATGTAGATCAAAATTGAATTTTTTTAGAAAATCAGAAAAATGGATTTTTGAGATTCCCAGGATTCTGAGATTTTGAGATTCTGAAATTCCCAGGATTCTGAGATTCTGAGATTCCCAGGATTCTGAGATTCTGAAAATTCTGAGATTCTGAGATTCTGAGATTCTGAGATTCTGAGATTCTGAGATTCTGAGATTCTGAGATTCTGAGATTCTGAGATTCTGAGATTCTGGGATTCTGAGATTCTGAGATTCTGAGATTCTGAGATTCTGAGATTCTGAGATTCTGAGATTCTGAGATTCTGAGATTCTGAGATTCTGAGATTCTGAGATTCTGAGATTCTGAGATTCTGAGATTCTGAGATTCTGAGATTCTGAGATTCTGAGATTCTGAGATTCTGAGATTCTGAGATTCTGAGATTCTGAGATTCTGAGATTCTGAGATTCTGAGATTCTGAGATTCTGAGATTCTGAGATTCTGAGATTCTGAGATTCTGAGATTCTGAGATTCTGAGATTCTGAGATTCTGATATTCTGATATTCTGAGGATTCTGAGGATTCTGAGATTCTGAGATTCTGAGATTCTGAAATCCTGAGATTCTGAGATTCTGAGATTCTGAGATTCTGAGATTCTGAGATTCTGAGATTCTGAGATTCTGAGATTCTGAGATTCTGAGATTCTGAGATTCTGAGATTCTGAGATTCTGAGATTCTGAGATTCTGAGATTCTGAGATTCTGAGATTCTGAGATTCTGAGATTCTGAAATTCTAAGATTCCAGAAACCCCTCTAGAAACCTTCTAAATTTGGAAAGCCCAAGAATACCTAATTTTCCTTAAGGTTCAAAATGTTGTACATTTTCAAATTTGTCGAAATTTTCAAAAGTACAGAAATTCTGAAAAATCGAATGGTTTCAGAAAAATATTAATCTTTAAAAATATGTCTTTCTCAATTTTTTGTGATCTCTGAATATTTAAAAAAAACACGATACCTAATTATAATTCCAGCTAGTGACCAGGCATCAGATCAGAAGAGAGAGAGAGAGAGAGAGAGAGAGAGAGAGAGAAAATATGTATATGCATATGTATGGTAGCCAAAAAAGAGGGGGACACCACTGGGTTTTTTTCAACTAGCTATGCAAATGCGCTTTATTGATAAAGGGGCGTGGCCGTAGCCAAATTGATGGCTGAGGATCAAACTTTTGATCCTCAGCCATTTCGTTGTCTGCGTCTCTCTTCACCGAAATATCGTCTTTTCATCGAAACAAGATCTCTAGTTTTAGGGGAGAATTTTTTCATTTTTGAAAATTTGAAAAAGCTTCGCCCCGCCCCCTTATCAATAGAGCGAGTTTGCAAAGATAGGAAAAAAAACCCTGTGGGACACTGGATGTTTATACAATTTCTGTCGTCTTCTTTTTCCCCAAAATCGATATGCATCGTCCCTGTGTGCATACAGAGACAGTCCATCGGGGGGAATATGCAGAAGAAGAAAAGGCAAAAAAAAAAGAAGAAAACGAATGGGGAAAACGGTATATACATTTTTTGGGGAAGAAGAAGAAGGAAAAAAATGGGGAAAAATGATGGCAATAGAAGGAAAAGAGGGGGTGTGGGAACTGTTTTCTGAGAAGAAGAAGTAGAAAAAGAAGAAAAGGAGAAGACAGAAAAAGAGATTTTTGGAAAAAAAATAGGCCGGCTTGTACTTTTTGCAATTTTCGATGTCTTAAATTCATCATTTTTAAGATCAAATCTAACATTTTTGATGATTGAAAAGTGCATTTTTAGGAGCAAAAATCATAGTTTCAGGCGCTAAAAGTTCACTTTCTTCTGATCTGAAGTGCATATTTTTATGTCAGAAACTTGCTAATTCAAGGTTTAAAATTGGCATTTATGCATAGATTTGACCAAATTCGAAGAGCAAAGTTGTGGATTTTCAGGCCCAAAATTTGATAATTTTGGTCCGAAATTTAGAATTTCAGATCGAAAAATCCTTTTTTTTATGTCACAAATTTACAATTTTTTGTCCAAAAAGTCAAATTTTTAGGTTCAAAATAGGCTGTTTTTGAAACCAAATCATGTGATTTTCAGGCTAAATATTCGAACTTTAGCTTCCAATTTTCCATTTTTATATCCCAAATTTACAGCTTTCAAAGTCCTAAAACTAAATTTTTAGACTCAAGATTTTCAGTTTTCTAGTTCAAAATACTGATTTTTAAGCTCCGAATAAGCAATTTTTAGGGCGAAATTTGCAATTTTCAGACCTACATTGGTACTCAAAACTACAAATGTTCGAATAGAAGTTTAGACATTTTGATTCAAATTTCAAAATTTTCTCTTTTCACAACCCATTTTTCCCAATTAATTGGGGTAATTAATGAGCCAGGTCGTTATCAGCAAAACATTTAAAATTAAATATTTCGAGAAATAGTAGAGTGCCAGAATTGGTTTTGAAATTTAAAAAATGAAAAAAATCTGGGACTGGAAATGGGAACAAAATGGGATTTTAGAAAATCTGAAAATCTTGGGAAAGTTGGCACAGTGCCAAAATGTTCTGGTTCTGCAAAATGAGGAAATATACTAGAATTCTGATTCAGAACTCTCGAAAGCAAAAAATTCCAGCCATTTCCGTCCATTTTCTACCGTTTTTGACCCAAAAAACCCGATATTTCGACTTCTTGGCACTGTGCCAATTTTCCCTTGTACAGATAGAGAGACGCAGATGCACAAGGGGCCTTGCACATGGGGTCCTAGGTGACCCCTCTTTTCTCCTTTAATCTTGATGACCTTTACACAGAAAAAAGGCGAATAACGAGATGACGTCTCAATGGATATGGGACCACCGAGCCTAATTGATCGGTGCAAAAAAGGAGGAAAGGAGGATTTTGGCGGGAAATTTGAAATTTGAAATTTGGAAAAATCGAATGGTCCTAAAAACTTGATTTTTGAGGGCTAAACAAAAATAAAAAAGTTTTGAACTTGGAAGGAATCGAACTTTGGTGTTGTGAATGGTAAATTTTGGTGCCAGAACCAACTGAGCCATTTGGAACAATTTTTTGAAAATGATCATTTTTTAGCGTTTTTGAAGGTTTTTTGGGGTATTCGGGACGATTTGAGCTGTTTTTTGCATTGAAAACTGCTGAAAACTCAGTTTTCCATGTCAAAAATTTAAATTGAAAACATTTTTGACCTCATAAACGAAATTTTTTTCGCAAAAATCACTTTCCACACATCAGGAAGCTTCAAAAACTTAATTTTTTAGGTCCACACAAAAATATAAAAAATTTACACCCTGGAGGTATCGAACTTTGATGTTGTGGACCTTAAGTTTTAGTGCCGAAACCCACTGAGCCATCTGGGACACTTTTTTGGAAATGGTTATTTTTGAGTGGTTTTATGGTTTTTGAAGTAATTGAGTAGGTTTAAAGCTGATTTTAGCATAAAAAATTGATGCGAATCTAGTAATTCATGCCAAAAATCGGAAAAAACTAATATTTTTTACCCCATCATGGCTTCAAAATCCAAAATTGCTTTTTTCGAACATCCAATAACCACTTTTTACAATTCAAACTGCCCTAAAAACTTGGTTTCCATGGTACACACAAAAATAAAAAAATTTGGCCCAGGTGGAATTGAACTTTGGTGTTGTGGGCCATAAACTTTGGTGTCAAAACCCACTGCGCCATCTGGGACACTTTTTTCGAAAATGGTCATTTTTGATGGTTTTTTATGGTTTTTATGGTATCTTAGGCTCTTTTAGACTATTTTTCACGGTAACATCCATCTTTTTAAAGTCATTTTGAACATTTAAGGTGTAAATTTGTGTTTGTTTAAGAGTACGTCAAATTAATTATAATAATTGGTCCCACGAGATATTATTTTTTTTAAATCACAGATGAATAGGGAAAAATTGGAGCATGTAAAAGTTAATTGCCTCTAATTAGGAGTAATTTTTGTTGTAGAAACTGGTAGTGTCGGATGTTGAGCAGCTCGATTTTTATGGGACATTCTCGCATTTGCCTGATTTTTTCTTGTTTTTTCAAAGCCAATTCGACGAATCCAGAAATCGAAAATTCTTGAGTTTCTGATGGTTGTTGATTGATGTCATCTGATATGGAGAGGTTTGACATCATTTTGGTGATAAGCTCTATTAACATTATCCTGAAAAAAAACTGGAATTTCAGAGGGAAATTGAAAATTTCTTGAAAAAACGAATTTCGAGAGAATGGCATCTCTAAAAACTTGATTTTTGAGGTCCACACAAAGAGAAAAAAATTTTGACCCCAGGTGGAATTGAACTTTGGCCTTGTGAACCCTAAATTTTGGTGGCAAACCCCACTGAGTCACCTCGTACACTTTATTGAAAATGGTCATTTTTGAGCGTTTTCGATGGTTTTCGGGGTATTTGGGACGATTTAAACTGATTTTTGCATTAAGAGCTGCTATAAACTTAACTTTCAATGTCAAAAGTGAGAATTGAAACTGTTTTGACCCCATAACCAAAATTGCGTCTCGAATTTCGCGAAAACCACTTTCCACACATCGGGAAGCTCTAAAAACTTAATTTTCAAGGTCCACACAAAAATCAAAAAATTTTGACTCCGGAAGGAATCGAACTTTGGTGTTGTGGACCGTAAATTCTGGTGCCAAAACCCACTGAGCCATCTGGTACACTTTTTGGAAAATTGTCATTTTTAAGCGTTTTTCATGGTTTTTGATGGTTTCTGGGGTAATTGGGACGATTTTGAGCTGTTTTTTAGTCTAAAATTGATGAAAATCTAGTATTTAATCAAAAATCTTATTGAGCCATTTTTAAAACTATTTTGAAAATGGTCATTTTTGAAGGTTTTCGATGGTTTTTAGGGTAAATTCGGTGACTTAAAGCTGTTTTTGTGTCAGAAATGCCATTTTAGGTTGTTTGAAAGGTCTAAACACTCAATTTCCGTTTCAATTTCTCACCTTCAGCTCTAAATCTGATTTTGGCTGATAATTAATGTAGAAAACCATAAACAAAGAGGAGTAAATGATATATAATGAGTTATCTACACACTCTCAAGGATCACAGGTCAATTAAAAAATCAATAAGGTCCAGAAGGTTCTATTGTTCTTTGGGTTATGTGTTTCTATACCCCTGGGAAGAAAAGTTGACTGTAGCAGGTGTACTGTACCTGTTCAGGTGGGGTCTGTCCAAGTGGGAAGAGTCATAAACCCTCAATTTCTGTTTTTTTCTATAGTCCCATTTTTTGTGTTCTGGAACCTTCCGGATCTTTTTACCTTGTTTCTCTCTTTTTTCGATTTTTTCTTCAAAATTCCATTTTTTCCAGAAATGTCCATCGAAGCACTCACCAATCTCATGGCCAACATCACCATCTCGCCACCAAAAGTGACGTCAGCAGATTTGAAAAAATTAGGGACCAAGAAGATTCGAGAGCACTGCCAAAAGTATTTCGAGGAGCAGAAGATGAGTACAGTAACCCGGAAGAGGACAGTCACCAAGGAGTTTGATGTGCAGATTACGGTAGTCAAGGAAGAGGACAAGAAAACCCAATTGAAAACGGTCCAAAAAGAAACAGAAGAAGACTTCGAAAGTTGGGAGAAAGAATTTGATGAGGACGATTTTTATGCGAACTTTTGATTTTTTTTACAAACTTTTTATTTAATAAAACTATGATAATATTCAAAAACCTTTTGTTTGATTTGGAAGCGTCAAAAGGGTACAAAATGTCAGTCTTCATTAATTTTTGACATGGAAAACTAGGTTTTCAGCATATTTGAACACGAAAACAGCTCAAAATAGTCCCAAATACCCAGAAACCATAAAAAACGCTCAAAAATGACCGTTTTCAAAAAAGGGTGCCAGATGACTCAGTGGGTTTTGTCATCAAAGTTTATGGTCCACAACACCAAAGTTCAATTCCACCGGGGTTCAAAACTTTTTTATTTTTGTGTGGACCTTGGAAATCGAGACTCAATGACCTAGATTTTTTTAATCCACTTTCTCTAGGTCATGACCCAATTTTTCTAGGACATCACCTAGATTTGTTTTAGGTCATGACCTAATTTTTTCTAGGTCACCACCCAATTTTTACTAGCTCATGACCCAATTTTTCTAGGTCATGATCCAATTTTCTAGGTCGTGTCCCAATTTTTTCTAGGTCACGCCCCAATTTTTACTAGGTCATAGCCAAATTATTTCTAGGTCATGACCCAATTTTTCTAGGACATGACCTAGATTTGTTTTAGGGCATGAGCTAATTTTTTCTAGGTCATGACCCAATTTTTACTAGCTCATGACCCAATTTTTCTAGGTCATGATCCAATTTTCTAGGTCGTGTCCCAATTTTTTCTAGGTCACGCCCCAATTTTTACTAGGTCATAGCCAAATTATTTCTAGGTCATGACCCAATTTTTCTAGGACATGACCTAGATTTGTTTTAGGGCATGAGCTAATTTTTTCTAGGTCATGACCCAATTTTTACTAGCTCATGACCCAATTTTTCTAGGTCATGATCCAATTTTCTAGGTCGTGTCCCAATTTTTTCTAGGTCACGCCCCTATTTTTATTAGGTCATGGCTAAATTATTTCTAGGTCATGACCCAATTTTTCTAGGTCGTGCCCCAATTTTTTCTAGGTCACGCCCCAATTTTTATTAGGTCATGGCCAAATTATTTCTAGGTCATGACCCAATTTTTCTAGGACATGACCTAGATTTGTTTTAGGCCATGACCTAATTTTTTCTAGGTCACCACCCAATTTTTTCTAGGTCACCACCCAATTTTTACTAGGTCAAGACCTAATTTTTCTAGGTCATGATCCAATTTTCTAGGTCGTGTCCCAATTTTTTCTAGGTCACGCCCCAATTTTTATTAGGTCATGGCCAAATTATTTCTAGGTCATGACCCAATTTTTCTAGGACATGACCTAGATTTGTTTTAGGGCATGAGCTAATTTTTTCTAGGTCATGACCCAATTTTCTAGGTCGTGTCCCAATTTTTTCTAGGTCACGCCCCTATTTTTATTAGGTCATGGCTAAATTATTTTAGGTCATGACCCAATTTTTCTAGGTCGTGCCCCAATTTTTTCTAGGTCACGCCCCAATTTTTATTAGGTCATGGCCAAATTATTTCTAGGTCATGACCCAATTTTTCTAGGACATGACCTAGATTTGTTTTAGGCCATGACCTAATTTTTTCTAGGTCACCACCCAATTTTTTCTAGGTCACCACCCAATTTTTACTAGGTCAAGACCTAATTTTTCTAGGTCATGATCCAATTTTCTAGGTCGTGTCCCAATTTTTTCTAGGTCACGCCCCAATTTTTATTAGGTCATGGCCAAATTATTTCTAGGTCATGACCCAATTTTTCTAGGACATGACCTAGATTTGCTTTAGGGCATGAGCTAATTTTTTCTAGGTCATGACCCAATTTTTCTAGGTCATGATCCAATTTTCTAGGTCGTGTCCCAATTTTTATTAGGTCATGGCTAAATTATTTCTAGGTCATGACCCAATTTTTCTAGGTCATGATCCAATTTTTCGACCCTAAGACGTGGTCTTTTTCTCTGACCCTAATACGTGGTCTTTTTCTGTGCCAACTCAAAATAAGTAGATAAATCCCAAAGTGGACTCCGAAAAAATATTAGTTTTGAAAATCATAAAACTATGATTTTAAGAAACATCTCCCTCCTTCTGCTTTCGACGTTTTTCATTAGCGATTCGCACAGTTTTGAAGATTCCAAAATCGATGGAATTCTCAAAAAAGTTGGGAAACGATACATCCGTCGCGATCAGAAAATGATGGGACTCATAGGTGAGGTGTGGGCGTTTTTTGGCATATTTAACATGGTGGCCTAACTTTTGCGAATTGAGTTTTCTAGGCCACCAAGGTAAATGACATAGAAACGACCTATTTGCCAACTGGTGTGGTTTCTAGGTGATTTTAACACGGTGGTCTAACTAGTTTTCTAGGCCATTAGCTTTGATGGCCTAGAAATGTTTGTTTTGGTGGCCTACAAAAGCAAATTTGCAAAAGTCAGACCGCCATGTCAAAATGGCCTAGAAAACACACCATGTGAATGCTAGACCATTCCTAGCCAATACATTTAGGTGGCCTAGGAATTTCATCTTGAGAAAATTAGGTCACCATGGTAAACTGCCTATGAATGGCCCGACATTTATTTGATGTCTTTTCTAGGTGACTTTAACACGGTGGCCTAACTTTTGTAAATTGGGTTTTCTAGGCCACGATGGATGGTAAATTGTTTAAAAAACCATCTCGAGGTGTTTGTAGGTAAGCAGTTAAAAAATGGTGGCCTAGAAAACTCAACTTGCATGAGTTAGGCCACCATCTTTTATAGAAAATGGAACACTTTAACGCGATGGCCTAACTTTCGAGTTTTGAAGGCCACCATGTTAAAATGAGCTAGAAAACACACATCAGGTGAATGTTAGGCCATTTCTAGGCCATCAACTTAGGTGGCCTGGAAAGCTCAATTTGCAAAAGTTCGGCCGTCATTTAAAAATGGCCTTTTTTTCAATTTTTAAAAAAACCCGATTTCCAGCCAAACATCATCGTCTGAAAGATTGGGATGGACTTCCTGAGCAATACCAGGCTTGGTACGTCAAAACAAAAACTTTGATAATCTCTGAACATGTCGCCCATCCATCATTCATTGAGAATCCCAGATGGCAGGAGCATGTCAAACTACTGTATGATATGCAGCATGATGATATGGTCGCGGAAATTTGTGGAACACCGATAAAATTGAATAAATGTGAGTCAATTTTTTTTTTGAAATCTGCAGAATGAGAGCTTTGGAATGAGAATAAACAAGGGGTATTCTTGAAAAAAAAAATTGGGAATTTTCTCGACTTCAAATTTCAAACTACTGTAACTTGATGCATTTTTGACCGAAATTGATGAAAACTATATCTTTGGGATCAGCAAATCAAGAGCTTTAAAACGGAGTAAAATTTAATAGAGTTTAAAACTAACAGCGAGTACAATAGAGCGCAATAACACCCCACATGTTTTTAGATGTTTTTTGGAACTGCGAAATTTTCAAATTACTGTTACTTGGCTCATTTATGTTCAAATTTTATGAAATTGCTATTTTTGTGAACAGAAGTTCGGGAACTTTAAAGTAAGCATATATTGATCAAGGTGAGAGAATTTCGATTAGTTCAACAGGGCGCATTTACAAAGAAATCAAATAAAATTTTTTGAAAGTTTTTTTTTCCGAATTTCAAAAATTCGTTTTCTACACCTAAAATGTGTCTAAAACTGTTTGAAGTGCACACAAAAATAAAAAAAAAAGTTTTGAATCCTGAAGGAATTGAACTTTGGCCTTGTGAACCCTAAATTTTGGTGGCAAACCCCACTGAGCCATCTGGCACGCTTTTTTTAAAATCGCGATTTTTGAGCGTTTTCGGTGGTTTTTTGGTATTTTATTTGTTTAAAATGGTTTTTCGCACTCGAAAACTTTCAAAAAGGTATATTAATTTCAGACCAATTCGACAAATACCTCCATAACAATCGTCAGAATTTTTTGTCGACCGATTCTCAGAAAGACAATTTCAAAATTGAAGCAATCAAAGATAAAAGAGTGTTCAATATTATGATTGGCTTCGAGAATCAAGCACGGGAGGGGTAATTCATTCAAAACTATTGGAATATCACTTATAAGATCTTGGTAGTTCCTTTTTTGCATACTTGCAACGGGCCGGGCCGGGCCGGACCGGGCTTTTTTCAGGATTTTCAGGGCCCGGCTCGTCTCGGCCCGGATTTTTGGAAAAAAATGTTTTCTGTATTTCAAAAAATTTTTGGACGATTTTTCTGCGACAAGAAAAAAAATTTTCAAGATAAGAGTGTGCATAAAAAATAGTTCTTTTACAAAAAATTTGAAAACATTTATGAAATTTGAAAAAAAATTTCAAATTTGGAAAACCCGGGCCGGGCCGGGCCCTGATTTTGCAAGTGCTTTTTTGAGACCTGAATTCTCTTGAAATTTGTTTTTTCTAGGATTACAAAGAGAACCAGAATTTCATGAGTTGGCACAAAGAATTGGCAGATTTTAAAATTATGAATATCTCAATAAACGGTGGTTGTACGGAATACGGTCACGTCGATCTGTCAGCCAGGCCAAATAAGGAAAACAACACACTGGAACTGCTAAAAAAGGAAAAAAATCCTAGTGTCAAATCCCTTTTTGAACTTTTCGTGCCGGAATATATCACACATTTGGAGTCATCGTCCCGAGAAGTGATCCCGATGGTTTGGTTGGAATCTTTGGATGACGAGCCAATGTCTCTGCAAGCTACAGTATGCCATGAGGAGAAAGAGCCAAGGCAGCAGAATTATACAAAAAGTGGGACGCCAAATTTCGATGTTTCAGTTGATTTTAGGCCACTTTGACAATTTTTGTAACTTTTGAAAAAATTTTGAAAAAAGTATTTTTAATTATTAAAGAAAATGCCTACAATTCTGTCTAAAAATCCTATTTCTAGCGCTTCTAGGAGCCGAGATAGAGCTGCTGCAAGCTTAGGAGGCTAGAGACGCAGACGACGAGACACGCTGCGTCTCTAACCTCGGAAACTTCAAATGACCGTATCTCGAGTTCTAGATGAGCTAGCAAGCTGATTTTTGGACAGAATTGCGGTGTTTGAAATGGTTTTTCAAATTATATATGGAACTTAAAATTTTTGGAAATATTGTAAATGCAAATTTTGTATTTCGGTCTGTTTTACAGATTCCGAAACTTTCAAAACTTGACAGCTGAGTTCTAGACTTCTGAAATTGGTTAAAAATGACCGAAAATCAACAAAACGTACTTTATATTAAGAAAATTCCTAATTTTTTGATTCCAGAAGAATTCATCCGCTGGTACGAAAAGTTCCAAGAGATGTGGCATGTGAAAGAGGGCGGTGCTGAGGACTGGATTCGAGTGCAAATGATCGATGCGAAAGATGATATGCTGAGCATTTTGATGTAGTAGAAATAGGGTAAAAATGTCAGATATTACCAATTTTCAACATGTTTATGCTGAAAACAGGCTCAAAATCGTCCCAAATAATCCTGAAAACCATCAAAAACCATGAAAAACGCTTAAAAATGACAATTTTCCAAAAAGTGTCCCAAGTGGCTCAGTGGGTTTTGGCATCAAAATTTACGGCCCACAACACCAAAGTTCAATTCCACCAGAGCTCAAAGTTTTTTTTATATTTATGTGGACCTTAAAAATCAAGTTTGTAGAGCCTTCTGATGTGTGGAAACAGTTTTTCCGGGAAATAAAACTAAAAATTTGAAAAAAAAAATCAAAATTTTTTAAAAATTTCACATTGCGCTTTTTAACAATTTTAATGGTAAAAACACTTTAAAATCACTTTAAATGCTCTAACACCTTGAAGAACCACAAAAATTGGTCATTTGCAAAAATTTGTACAAGATGGCTCAGTGGGTTTTGCCACCAAAATTTAGGGTTCGCAAGGCCAAAGTTCAATTCCACCTGGGGTCACAAATTTTTTTCTCTTTGTGTGGATCGCAGAAATCGTGTTTTCAGAGTTTGCTGAAAATTAGTTTTTCCGAAAAAAAGTTTAAAAAGTCAAAAAAATTGAATTTTTTATAAAATTTTGCAGAACGAGCACGGCGATGAGAAATGGTACATTACCAAGTTGGACGTACTATGTCCTCCGACCATAGACAATTATCGAGATCTATTCCTAATGCATGTCGGAGACGTTGTTACTTCCAATTTCCTTCGGTACGTCCAAATCCTCCCCACACCGGTCACATGGTATCAGACATTGGACTTTTTGAAACCGTTCACACATCAAAATACGATGTTGGCTGAAATTTGCAATCAGACAAATATCAATCTCAGTGAGTTTAATTTTTTTTTTGGCTTTGAAAATGTTCCAAACTGGTTTCAGACGGAAAAAAACCGGGTTTAGCATTTTGATGTAGTAGAAATAGGGTAAAAATGTCAGATATTACCAATTTTCAACATGTTTATGCTGAAAACAGGCTCAAAATCGTCCCAAATAATCCTGAAAACCATCAAAAACCATGAAAAACGCTTAAAAATGACAATTTTCCAAAAAGTGTACCAGATGGCTCAGTGGGTTTTGGCACCAGAATTTACGGTCCACAACACCAAAGTTCGATTCCTTCCGGGGCCAAAATTTTTTGATTTTTGTGTGGACCTTGAAAATTAAGTTTTTATAGCTTTCTGATGTGTAGAAAGTAGATTTTCAGAATAGCTGAAATTTTCGAAAAACAATTTTCGTTGTTTTCAGCGGAAATCTACTCGAAAATGATCAGCAGAGAGTACAAAAACATGGAATCTCCAAAAGGCGAGGATATACCAAGAGATAACACATATGTAGGTTCAAAATATTTTTTGAATTTTTGAAATAATTTACAAAAATGTTCCAGATTTTGTACTCCCTCGACAATGTGAGATTCGATCCATCGGCTAAAGAATTGGCGGATTTCAAATTGGCTACTGTATTGACTGGAAGAGCCAATGCACCAAGGGAATGGATTTATGTTTGGGATTTTAAAATTCGATGGGTCAGCTTTTTTAATTAAAGGGGGACTCCGATCAAAAATTTTTATTGCATTAAAATGTGTTAAAAGTTATCTATTTTCCGAATATTATTGCGAAAAAATTCAAAAAAAACCGAAATCCCCGAAAAACGGCGTTGAAAAGGAAGAAAATTCAAAAAAAGGTGCCGCCGGGGGACGAGGATTTTCAGTGAGAAACCTAGGCCACGGCAGCGGGCGCCTTTCCTATGTGGCAAATTTTCCGATTTTTTTTCAATT